CTCCATTGGTTTGACAGGGCTCTCAAGCCTGGTTCTGTGTTTGCCAGGCGCACTCAACACTCATCCTGCTCTCAGGCTCTCCTGTCATCTGGTATGTGCCAGCCACTTGCCGGTCAGCTTACCTGAGATGAAGGAGATAGACCAAGCCTCTGATGGGGGTGTGGATTGTGTTGACATCCTATAGACATCAGTGGTGGCCGTGTGCCTGGGATCTTTGTGAGACCCTTAGGGTGGCTACCCTGGAGGATCGCAGAGTATATACGGGCTTTTCAGAGAAGGAATGTCTTGTCTATAAAGGAGAGGTATTAGCGGCTGAGGCTGTTGACCAGGCCCAGGAGGAGCACACCTCAGGTAAAAGGGGCACAGGAGGCTGGAACCAGCAGATGTCAGCAGCTGCCAACAGCTCTTTGTGACTGGAGGGTCCAGTGTGAGGCACGGATGAGCAGGCACCTGGGTGTCAGCGAGCAAGTGGGAGGGTGTTGTTTGAGTATGTAGAGCTTGGACTGTCTCCTGAAGGGGGCACTTCTCAACTCATGCCCCACCTGTGGAATTAGTATACAGTTAGGAAGAGTTGAGGGGTTTTGCAAGAGTCTCTAGCTCCACCTTTATCCATTCATTTCCTTTATGGAAAACTTCAGAAATTACATAAAATTATTATCTACCCATGATCCATTCTAATGTATTTTAAATGGACTATTTATCTCTTATCACTGAAGTATGTGATCTTTATATATTCTGGATACAAGTCCATTATCAGATATATATGATTTACAAATGTGCTCTCCCATTCTGTGGATTATTTTTTTCACTTCCTTATTTATTTATTTATTTATTTGGTGACAGGGTTAACCCTTTGTTTCCCAGGCTAGAGTACAGTAGCGTTATCACAGCTCACTGCAACCTCAAACTCCTGGCCTTAGCCTCCCAAGTAATGGGGACTACAGGTGCATACCACCATGCCCCACTAATTTTTTTATTTTTTGTAGAGACAAGTTCTTGCTGTGTTGCCCAGGCTGGTCTCAAACTCCTGGGCTCAAGTGATCCTCCTACCTGTGCCTGCCAAAATGCTGGGATTACATGTGTGAACCACCATGCCCAGCCTGCTTGGTCATTTAATAGGCTTCTGCTGGCTGCTGTGTTGAGAACCCACTGGGGTGAGGGAGGTAGTGAGGAGATGGGTTAGGAGGTGACACAGTAGCCCAAGCTCCATCCAGGTGGTAATGATGAAGTGAAAGGATGTTCGAATCTGTAAATAGCTGTTATGTTTTTCCTCATTTGTTTTAATCTTCTTTATTGAGTTTTCTAGACGTATTTTGAAGTTAACCAGTAAGATTTCCTGGTGGAAGTACAGTGGACTGCCTTGAGTGGAAGCCCAGAAGTTGAGTTGGGCGTGCTGTGTTGAGAGCCTCTGAGACACCAGGGGCAACTGGGGCCCAGGAGAGGGAGTGGGTGGAAGTGTCAGCTAGAGAGTCACAGGCATAGGGATAGAGTGCAGCCATGGGCCCAGAGGTCTCTAGATGATGGGTCCAGGTGGAGAAGAGAGCCCAGGACTGGGCATGGGGCCTCCTGCAGTGAGACACCCAGGAGCAGGGAAGAAGGCCTTAGCCCAGTGGCAAGTGAGGAAGGCTGATAGAGAAGGCAGAGTGGTCCAGGTTGATAATGGGCAGGGGGAGGTCTGATCTACAGTGAGGACAGGAAAGCAGGTGGGGAGCTGCCACTGGGCTCAGTCTTGAGGTCTTTGGTGATCTGAAGAGCAAATTTGGAGGTAGGTGGATAAAAGCATGATTAGAGTGGGTTTAGAGAAAATGGGACAGAAGCAGTTAAAGGCACCAGGGACAGATGCCTCCTTACTGGATTTTGCTGCAAAGGAGCATAGAAGTTTTTTGTTCACAAATTTTGTAAGATACAAGAAATGATAGCCAGTGTCATGCTGCTGGGACTGACCTGAAGGAGGGAAGAAATGGCAGCATGGAGAGACCTGCATGTCAGCAGGGGCAGGCAGGTTGAGGCATGTGTGCTGGTCCCTGAGCCTCTGTGGAAGTTCTCTTCTGATGCTTTTCTCAGAGGAGAAGGAAACAGGTTCCTAGTTGATGATGAGGATGGGGAAGAAGGAGGAGATGCTGGAGGCTACAGACAGAGAAGGTGTGCCATGGGCTGAGGAGGCTGTTAGTTGGCCAGGTGGACTCCAGGCCATGTGCTGATATGGGGACTGGAGGGGAGGCTGGTCAGTGGGTTTTCCTCAGGGTGTGTTGAGCTGCCTTTGAGGACTGGGGGAGCACTGGGTTACCCATGGGAGTTGGGTTGCTAAGTAAGCGTGGGCCCGGGATTTGAGATATCATGAGAGTGAGGCTGTTATCCCTCATTAGAAAGAAAGAATCTGAGGCCAGAAGGCAGGTGATGTGAGGAAGAGCTGGGGAGAGAGAGGGATTTCACTCGCAGAGCTTGTTGGTGAGGGGGACAGCCTGATCGGATTGACACTGTGAACGTGTGTGCAGGGTGTGTGCATGGTAATCCAGGAGTGAGTGTTGAGGGCAGGACCCCATGCTTCGGCTACATGTGTTCTGAAGGGGGCACTGAGAGGGTGATACACATGTGGATGGGCCAGTATCACCCCAGGGGCCTCTCTGGGGTCTTTGTGCAGGGACAATGGTGTCCCTCAGAGGAGTGGAGAATCTTGCTTCAGTGATGGTGCTGGTAAGAAGAGCCACAGGCCGGGCGTGGTGGCTCACACCTGTAATCCTAGCACTCTGGGAGGCCAAGGCGGGGGAATTGCTTGAGGTCAGGAGTTCGAAACCAGCCTGAGCAAGATCCCGTCTCTACTACAAATAGAAAGAAATTAATTGACCAATTAAAAATAAATATACAAAAAATTAGCCAGGCATGGTCGCACATGCCTGTAGTCCCAGTTACTCGGGAGGCTGAAGCAGGAGGATCCCTTGAGCCCAGGAGATTGAGCTTGCTGTGAGCTAGGCTGATGCCACAGCACTCACTCTAGCCTGGGCAACAAAGTGAGACTCTGTCTCAAAAAAAAAAAAGAAAAGCCACAGGATCTTGGACTACAGGCAGATTGTCCACTCTGAGTGTGAATGGGAGGGGACTTTAAGCACTGCTGTAGCTAAAAACACAGGAGCACTGGTTGAATGTGGAACCTGAAATGCAATTGATGCTCCACTCTGAAGCCAGTGCAATCTCAGTGTTTCACAAAAAGGAACTGAATTATGACATGTCCACACAATGGGACACTGTGCTCTGAAGGTTAAGTTGACTGTGTCTGTGTGGCCAAATGTAAAGTGATAGAAGAAAAATACACAGAAAGAAAGAAAGAAGAAAGAAAGAAAGAAAGAAAGAAAGAGAGAGAGAGAGAGAGAGAGAGAGAGAGAAAGATAGAAAAAGAAAGAGAAACATACCAATTCTCAATATTTGTAGTAGGACCTATGTTTTGGTAAATTGAAAAGAAGAATATATAGTTCTTCATATGCTGATATATACACAGAATTTTTTTTCTGAAAGTAAACATGAGACAGTTAACAATGGTATCTTTGTTGGGTTCCTCAGACATGTTGTAACTTTTTTTTTTTTTTTTAAATAATGTCTGAAGACTTACCTGCTCTGTGAGGTGGTGGGCTGTTTCTATTTTCTTCTTTTTCTTTCCAAGTGAATGAACTCTGAGATGTGTGAATTACTGAGAATGGGAGTGAGACAGAAAAAGGAAGAACTGCCCCTCAGCCGAGGCCTGGGAATGCAAGGTATGGCAGCACTTGAGTGAGAATGTGAAGGGCCTGGGACTGGCCCTCCAGTGGGGCCAGCGCAAGTGCCAGCGAGTTGGGTGCTGTTTAGAGTCTGCTTGTCAGACTTGGTAGTGATGTGCATGTTTCTAATCTAGCTGAGGATTCGTGTTTCCCCGAAAATAAGACAGGGTCTTATATTTATTTTTCCTCAAGAAGACACCCTAGGGCTTGTTTTCAGGGGATGTATTATTTTTTTAAGTATGGTACAACAATCCACATTCAAATATAGATAAGTCGTCGTCTTCTGAAACATCATCATAACTCTCCAAACCCCGAATTCCATCCTGAATTTCTTGCAACTCTATTTCCTTTAGAACCATTGGACCCAATCTCTCATGTCGAGCAATAGAGCTCTCATTAAATGAGCGGGGCTGGCTTATTTATTAGATCCAGTGAGCACTGGGTCCAATCTGCACAGTGGAGCAGAAATGATCTCTCTGAGCTCAGTAGGAGACTGCTTGCTGAATCATTTCCGCTATCCCCTGGTGTTTGTGAAGGGTGAGAGAAGCCCACAGTCCAGGCAAGGTGGCTCACGCCTGTAATCCTAGCACTCTGGGAGGCTGAGGTGGGCGAATCGCTCAAGGTGAGAAGTTTGACTCCAGCCTGAGCAAGAGCAAGACCCCGTCTCTTACTAAAAAATAGAAAGAAATTAATTGGTCAACTAAAAATATATAGAAAAAATTAGCTGGGCACGGTGGTGCATGCCTGTAGTACCAGCTACATGGGAAGCTGACACAAAAGGATTGCTGGAGCCCAGGAATTTGAGGTTGCTGTGAGCTAGGCTGACACCACGGCACTCTAGCTTGGGCGACAGAGTAAGACTCTGTCTAAAAAAAAAGAGAGAGAGAGGCCCACAGTGCTGAGTAAAATGGCAGCCATAGCTTTCCTTCTTCCCCCTGGGGACACACAATACCTAAAGCAGAGCATCTCGCTTCTCACTTCACTGAGGAGACTTTCCCCTAAAAGTCTCAGCTTGCAGCACGTGCAGGATGGCTGGGACCTGACAGGGGGAGCCGACCTTGTTGGTGGGGCTGCCCACACCTTTCTGGTCACCTCTGGGATAGTAGCTGTCACGATGGGGCAGATGAGAAGGGCTGCTCATCTTTACCGCGCTGGGTTGTGCAGATACACTGCATAGCCATGCCCATCACTAGGTCTTATTTTTGAGGCAGGGCTTATATTGCGCAAATGCTTAGAAATCCTGCTATGGGTAGGCCTTATTTTCAGAGAAACACGGTTGCTGAGGCCTGTACTGGGCCTGGCAGGTGAGTTAAAGGGCTGGCAAGACTTAGAGCTGAGAGGCCAGAGCCCAGTTTCTGGGCTTGAATGATAGGGCACTTCACTGTGGAGATAAGAGTCTGCTGTGGACAGCACTCGTGTCCCTGTCTCACCACATTAAGTTCCTGTTGGCCTTGGGGCTCTGGGCATTCTGGCTCTGTCCAGTCACTGGTTCTCATATCAGACAGTATGTCGTCTTCCAATTCAAATAGTATCATGTTGCTCCCCTGCTTAAAATCCTTAATGGCTTTTGTACTAAGGACAAAATTAAAAATCTTTTTGTGTTCTCTGAGCCTTCCGAGGCCTGTGATCAGACTGGAGGCCTCCTCCTTCCTCTCCCTGGAGTGGCCTATCGTTTCTTCCCTCAGTCCCCTGAAGGCATCTCCCTTTTTAAGGGGGGTGGCTTCTTTCTCCTCTTTGAGGTCTTGGCTTAGAGAAGAGGTATTTTCTCATGTAATTTACTGTAGATCTTTCCTGCTTTTCTTCCTCATAGAACTTTATTCTTTAATAGAAGTTACCAGAATTTATAGTTATATATTAACTTTTTATTTGTTTCTTGTTTTTCTCCTTTACGATATAAGAGCAGGGACCATGTCAGCTTTGTTTATAGTCTGGCCAGGGCCTGGTATAATAATGACACATAAGCACAAAATAGATAATTTTTGAATGAATGTGTAAATAGAAAAAATAAATAGAATTAGTGAGCTCTATAAGAAATGCAAGAGATACCACCAGCTACTGCTATGCGTAATTAAAAGTTATTTGAATGATGGAAGTAAGTGTTAAATAGCGGTTCAGAGGTGAGGGGCCCATTTGGGGTGGGTGACCGCTAAGTACCGTGTCTTTGAAAGAGAGGCAAGGAGAGAGTGTACCCGGGAACAAGTGTCCAGGTGAGGGTAGGCCTGGCAAGTATGAGGCATGACTCAGGGCAGCTGGCAAAATGTTTTCATTGGATCAGAGCAGAAGTGGGAAGCACGGTCATGAAGTAGGTGTGTTCCAGAGCCTGCTGTGCCACCTGTAGCTGCTGGGCACTGAATCGTGGCTTGCAAGACTGGGGTGTTAAGTGTTATTTAATTTTAATTAATTTAAGTAGCCACAGTGACAAGTGACTATTAAATAGTGTAGTTCCAGAAGTTACTAGTATAAGAATTGTCCCTTGGTCCCCTTTCTGTGTGGGTCGGGGTGAGTGGCACCCGGTGTTCTGAGGCACCGCGTCTGTAGGGAGAGACGCGAGGCACAGAAATATAACATAAAAATGGCTTCCAAAAGAGCCCCAGTCATCTTGGCTAAAGGAGCAGAGGAAATGGAGACAGTGATCCCTGTAGACATCATGAGACGAGCTGGGATTAAGGTCACCATTGCAGGTCTGGCTGGAAAAGACCCAGTACAGTGTAGTCATGATGTTGTCATTTGTCCTGATGCCAGTCTTGAAGATGCAGAAAAACAGGGGTTGTATGATGTGGTGTTTCTGCCAGGAGGGAATCTGGGTGCACAGTATTTATCTGAGTCTGCTGCTATGAAAGAGATACTGAAGGAACAGGAAAAAAGGAAGGGGCTCATAGCCGCCATCTGCACAGGTCCCACTGCTCTGTTGGCTCATGAAATAGGTTTTGGAAGTAAAGTTACAACACACCCACTTGCTAAAGACAAAATGATGAATGGAAGTCATTACAGCTATTCTGAGAGTCTCGTGGAACAGGACAGCCTGATCCTCACAAGCCGCAGCCTAGGGATCAATTTTGAGTTTGCGCTTGCCATCGTGAAGACCCTGAGTGGCAAGGAGGTGGCAGATCAAGTGAAGGCTCCACTTGTTCTTAAAAATTTGACCCTCAGAGAAGTAGGCCACTTGTAATCCATTCTCATTGTGTTCTCTGAAAAAAATGGTGGGTTAATGTGCTAAGAAGCTGCCCTTGGTACTGCTTTCATGGAGTATAGTTGTGAAGTGACAGCTACACAGAGATCTCTCAACCCACAGATTGTGCTTGTACATTTCTGAGCCTTGTTTACACAATAAACGGAATTTGGCAAACTAAAAAAAAAAAAAAAGAATTGTCCCTTTATTTTGGGGGCACCATTGACTATTTATTATGATGAAAGTGACGTAATCTTGGCTGGTCTTTTGGGAAATTCTTGAATATGGTAGTAGCAGTGAGATGGGTTTGGGTGAGGGAAGGCCAAAAGCATGGCAAGTCTTCTGTTATTTAACCAGAGGCCAGCAAAAGGGAATTAGCTCTTGAATGTGCAAGAGGCCTTTGAGGCTTGTGGGAACAGGTGGCTGCCGAGCTGATGCTGAGGTGCCCATGATAGGCTGGCCAGTGGTGGGGACCTGGGTCCCAGAGGAGACCCAAGAGCACCTACACCTTTGAGCCTGGGGGCAGTGCAGTGTGCTGTGGACAGAAATCCGATGCACAGTACAAGTGTGTGTGGTGGTTGAGAAAAGTTATTTGGGGAGGAGAGTACCATTGAGGTACATGTGAGGGAATACCATCTAGGGAATGTCCACATTGCATTCATAAAGTGAAGTGAACCTGGCATTTGGGAGCGAGGTATGTCAAGATAGATATTTGGGACTTAGCTACAGAGGTTACAGTGGAAACTAGGAACAGAATGAAAAGTTCAGAGGGTAGAGTATAGAGGAAAAATAGCCTTGGGGTATCCCACAGTTGAAGAGGGCATGAACAAGTGGACGCTTGAGGCAGCCAGGGGAGGGAGCTGAGGAAAGTAATGTGGTTAGCTCAGTTTGAGAGGGAGCATGGGCCAGAGAGTATGGCAGCATGGTGGGGCGTCAAGGCCAGGGAATGAGTCAAGGCCAGAGGATTTGACAAAAGGTTGTTTGGAATATTCTAATCTCTTTGTTTACCCTCCTGAGCTATTCTAGATGTCCTGTAGTTATGTTTAAACTTGGAATGTAGACTTAGAACACTAGCCTCTCTGCTCTTAGGTGAGAGGGCCAGTGTGATTGAAAAGGGAGCACTCCTCGGCCTCAGAGATGTCGTGTAATCAAGACAGACTCAGTGGAAATATAAGGCTGAACTGAAATTTCAGTTTTTGTAGGTCAAAAAGTGTTGAAAATGGCAACTTCATATGATTATATCTGATTGTATAAAGCAGCATTCTACAAGCCTCCCAGCACATGTAGGAAGTTAGCATATGTTTTCCTCAATGCCTTCACTGTGTAAATGAGGAGTTGATAGTACTTTCATTGCTCTGTCATGTCAGCATGGAGCTGTTTGTCTAGCTGTCTGCCATTTTGAGTATAATAATTGTGTCCTTTATAAATGCGCACATTATTAATTACTGTTTATGTTGGGTTCCATGGGAAGCAAACTCTGAGATGGAGATTTGTATTTAGGAAGTTTACTGGGGAGTACTTTTGGGATCACACCTGTGGATAGAGAGAAGGGAGCAGAACTGGCTAGGACAGTGACCTGTCACTGCTGTGTCATCCCATCATGAACCTAGTATACCTCACCATGAATCCAGTACTTTGAAAAGTCTTTCATCAGTACTTTGAAGTACTTAGTGTACATATAAATTTTGCCAAATTTATCCCTAATATTGATTAAATGTTAATATATGTCCTAATATTAAACATTAATGTTTTTTATTTTTTTACATATATAATCATTTTTTCTGTGAATAAAGATAGTTGTATTTATTTTCCAATCCTATGTGTTTTCTTTTTCTTGCCTTATTGCACAGCTAGGACCTCCAGTAAAGTATCATACAAAAGTGGTGAGGGGAAAGCATTCAGTTTTTCCCTGTTTAGTGTGACATAGTCATACCTTGGTATCTGAGGGGCACTGGTTCCAGGACCCTCTCGGATACCAAAATCCATGGGTGCTTAAGTCCCTGATATATTAATAAAATGATGCAGTATTTGCATGTAACCTGTGCATATCCTCCCATGTGCTTCAAATCATCTCTAGATTACTAATACCTAATACAGTATAAATGCTGTGTAAATAGTTATACTGTATTTTAAATTTTGTATCACTTTTTATTGTTGTATCATTATTTTTTATTGTTTTTTTCCCCCCAAATATTTCAGTCTGTGTTTAGTTAAACTCATGGATATGGAGGGCTTACTAGTAGTACATAGCTATAGGTTTTATACATATACCCTTTATCAGGTTGAGGACATTTCTTTCTATTCTTTGCTTAGAGTTTTTATTAAGAATGGCCTGGCCCTGTGCCTCATGCCTGGAATCCCTTTACTTTGGGACACTGAGGCAGGAGGATCAGTTGAGCCCAAGAGTTTGAGACCAGCCCGGGCAACATAGCCAGACCTTGTCTCTATAAAAAATTAAAACTAGCCAGGGATGGTGGCACACACCTGTAGTCCTAGCCACCTAGCTACTTGGGAGGCCAAGCTAGGAAGATTGCTTGAGTCCAGGAGTTCAAAGCTTCTGTGAGGTATGATGATGCCACTGCACTGCAGCCTGAGTGACAGAGCGAGACTCTGTTTCCAAAAAAAAAAAAAAGAATGAATGGTGTATTTTGTCAACTGCTTTTTCTGCCTCTATTGTGAAGATCATCCACTTTTCTTTTTTACTCTGTTAATATGGTGAATTTCACTGATTGGGTTTTGAATGTTAAACCTTGCAATCCTGGGATTCTTGGGTATGATGTGTTATCCTTTATTGCTGTATTTAATTGACTAACATTTTTAAATTTTAAGGATGTTTGTATCAAAAGTCATGAAAGATACTGATCTGTAGGTTTTTTTGTAATGTCTTTGTCTGGTTTTGAGAGCAGTATAATATTGGCTTCATAAAACAAGTGGAGAAATGCTTCTTCTAGAAAGAAGTGGAATAATTTGTATAGAATTGTTATTTTTCTTTCATTCTTTCTTGTTTTTTTTTCTTGAGACAGAGTATTGCTCTGTCACCCAGGCTGGGGTGAAGTGACATGATCATAGCTCACTGTAGCCTTGGAACTCCTAGGCTCAAGCAGTCCCCCTGCCTCAGCCTCCTAAGTAGCTAGGACTATAGGTGCCATCATGCCTGGCTAGTTTTTCTTATTTTTTGTAGAGATGGAGGTCTCACTGTGTTGCCCAGGCTGGTCTCAAATTCCTGACCTCAAGCATTCTTCAAGCAATCCTCTCGCCTCAATCTCCCAAAATGCTGGGATTACCGGGTGTGAGCCACCATGCCCAGCCCATTTTTCTTAAATATTTAGTGGAATTCACTAGTGAAATCATCTTGGCCTGGAGTTTTCTTTGTGGGATGGTTTTTACCTATAAATTTGATTTTTTAAAATAGATAACATTGTCTATTCAAATTATTTCTTCATGAGTAATCTTTAGTAATTTGTGTTCAAAGAATTTTTCCATTTCATCTAATTTTTAATTCATTTTATAAATGTCAGTTAAAGTGGATTGATAGACAGTGCCAGTCTTACGTATCCTTAGACTAACTTTTGAATTTGTCTCTTACTCCTTTCACTTTCGTACTGTGTTTCCCACATGTTTTGAAGCTCTGTTATTACATGCATACATATTTAGGATTGTTGCATATTCTTGATGAATTGACCCTCTTAATCATGTAAAGAAATTTTAAAATGAGAAAAAAATGTTTATTTTCATTCTTATTTGCCATTTCTGGTACTTTATAGCATTTTGCATATTTAGGTTTTTATCTGGTATTATCTTTCTGCCTGAAGAAATTTAATTAATATTAATATTTCTTTTAGTATAGGTCTGTTGGCAACTAATTCTCTTACTTTTACTTTTGTTTCTCAGGAAGAAAAGAATATTTATTTTTGGCTTCATTTTTGAAGGATATTTTAACTGAACATGGAATTCTAGATTGATAGTTTTCTTTTGTTTAGCATTTTAAAGATGCTATTCATTTTTTGCTGCTGTGCATTCCTTCTGATCAGAAGTCTGCTTCTGATGAGAAGTTTTATCTCACTGGATTTTAGCAGCTTTTATGGTTTTTTTTCCTGCTTGGCATTCATCAGGCTTCTCACACCTATAGTTTTCATCAGATTTGGAAAATTTTTGACTAGTATTTTTTTCAACTAGTTTTATTACCCTCTCCCTTTATTTTGGGAAGGGGTATTCCAGTTATTTATATATATTTATATATAAATCCATACACACACATACATGTATGTTAGGTTGCTTGGTATCGTCCCATAGGTCACTGAGCTCCATTCATTTTTCTGGTCCTTTTCCTCTGTGTTGCAGTTTGGGTAGTGTCGTTTACTGTCTTCAGATTTACTGCTCTTTTTCTTACAGTGTTTCAGTCACTTCCAGTGACTGACTCTTCTCAGTTCAGAGTTGCCTCATCTGGGACCCTGTCCTTGGCCATGGTCTGTAGAGCCTCCAGGCAGCAGCCAGGAGACAGGAGCTCACTTGTCTCCCTGTCCTGGGGATTTACCACAGTCCTGTGCTGCTTGTTGTTCAGTGTCTGATGCTCGTTTTTTCACGTATTTGTACGATTGCTAGTCTTTACAGGAGGACAAGTCCAGTCCCAGTCCTGACTGCAGCTCTGGCTCTCTAACCAACATAAGGGTGGCCATTACCGAGGGGGTCAAGTGTCAAGTTTTCCAGGCTTGTGGGGTGGTCAGTATTTGTGGGGATTTCCAGTGCAGGCAAATGTCTCACGTTGGGGTGGTGGAGGAGGAGCTTGTGCTTTCCTTGAAGGGGCCTCCTTTCCCGTCATTTCAGCAACACGTTCCTGAGCAGATAGCTGTCAGGCATGGTGTTGTGTGTGTTTAGGACTGTTCCTTTTACTATTTGTAATTTCTGTGGTTTCCTATTAATGCTTTTTGCCTTAATTTCTATTTTATCTGTCAGCGGTTTTCTACTTTAGCTGCATATTAAAATCACCTTGAAAACTTAAGAAACTGGACCCTACCCTCAGCTACTTTTTAAAAAATTAATTTATTAATTTGGTTTCTTTTTTTTCCTTTTTTTTTTTTTTTTTTTTAAGAAACCAGTTCTTGCTCTGTTGCCCAGGCTGGAGTGCAGTGGTGAGATCATAGCTTGCCTAGCCTTAAACTCTTGGCCTCAAGAGAGCCTCCTGCCTCAACCTCCCAAAGTGCTAGGATTAAGTACATTGGTGGTATAGTGGTGAGCATAGCTGCCTTCCAAGGTGCTAGGATTATAGCTCGGCTACGTTTAAAAACTAATTTTTTAGAGTTTCCCAGGTGATTTAATGTGCAGCCAGGATTGAGAATTGCTCTTTTATGTTCCTATTCTACATTTGCCTCCTTTCTATGATAGCCATTCACTGACTGTCCTTCCTGGGTAGTCTCTGTTATTATTGTGGAGTGAAGCTTGTTCTATCTTTTAGTATAAAAAAGCTTTTAAACAGTCAGTAACTGAGTTTACCAATATCTTCTATTTTCACTGCTTAGCATTGTTTCCCCGCAGGCTATTTTCTTTCTAAACTGAATCCTTTAATAGTTTTTGTAGTGAGGGTCTGTGAATGCTGAAATCTGATACAACCTCAACTGTTATTTCTTTGTAAGGGATGGCTCCAGTTACTATTGCTGTGTAACAGATTGCCTCAAAATTTAGGGCCTAGAACAATTGTGTATTATCTCTTATGGTTTCTGCGGATCAGAAATTTAGGAGCAGCTTGTCATGGTATCTCCTGAGGCTACAGTCAAGATGGAATTTGGGGATGGGTCACTTCTCTCGCATATGCAGTGCTTGGGCTGGGGAGGCTGTAGCAGCTGGAGGCCCAGATGAGTATCTAGGGGCCAGAGGTGCTGCCTGTGTTCACCGTCTCCTTGTGGACATTCCAGCACGATGGTCTCAGGTTCATCTGTACCACCTTTTCCAGCCTGGCCTCTGAGGTCAAAAGTCACTTCTTTCACCTTGTGTTTACCAAGCTTGAGTTATTAGAGCTGGCCATGCTCAAGAAAGGGGAATTTACAGAAAAAATGTCCAGGAATTAGAACCATCACAGTGTTTTGTCTCTGGTTGCTTTTAGGACATTAAGTCCTTTATGGCAGTGAGTATATATATGAACTTATTTTTATATACCCTAACCTGGTACGTGGGTTGTACTTTTGCTCTGGAACATCGTTCTCAGCTGTTCCTTCTGTTTTATTCTCCTGGGGTACCCTTGGACATGTGCACAGCTTCCAGCCCACCCTCCCTGGCATGGCATCTTGCTTTTATTTCTCTGTGTATCCTACATGAATTTCCAGTACTAGCCTCCAGTTAGTTCCTTAGTCTTTGGAGTAGTCATTCTTTGCCTTATCCACCAAAGTTCCTAACTTGACACAGTTTCTTTCTTTCTTCTTTTTTTTTTTAGACACAGGTCTTGCTCTGTTACCCAGGCAGGCTAGAGTGCTGTGTTGCCATAACAGTTCACGGTAACCTCCAGTACCTGGGCTCAAGTGATCCTCCTGTCTCAGCATCCCGAGTAGTTGGTGCCTGGCTAATTTTTTAAACTTTTTGTTGAGATGGAGTCCCTTATGTTGCTTAGGCTGGTCTTGAACACCTGACCTTAAGTGATTCTTCTGCCCTGACCTCCCAAAGTGTCAGAATTACTGGCGTGTGCCACCACAGCTGGCCATGACATGATTTCAAGTTGTTTTCAGA